GTTCCAAGTCCGCTTCAAAATTGGTTATTATTGCTCCTTCTCTTGTTGTGGCTGGATCCAAGTTTACACCTGAAGTTAGAATTGTAGACACTGATGGAAATGTTGTTCCAAGAAACTATGCCATCTCTTTCACTTCATCTGCTGTACCAGAGCTTCTATTAGTTCCATTTTAGGTCCTGCTCCTACATTGACTTCTGCTCAGTTTACTGTGACTGTCACTCAATCCCTATTCACATGTTATGGTATTTCACCTTCCAGTAGTTCTGTTTGTAGTGGTAAAGGAACATGTAGTGGTCAAGATTTGTGGTGTTGCTTCATTCTCTGTTCAATTGTCAGCCACAACTTCAAGTTCAATCTCTCTAAAGGCAAATTATCAAACACTTTCAGATACAAAATCAGTTAATGTGGATATTTCAAGAACATCTCAATGTGCCACCATTTGGAGTTATCTATTCACAATGACCTTTTTTGTAATTTTAATTATTATCAACTAATAAACTTCATTTTACAATAAACATATTCAAAATGGTCTATTAACCATTCATGAAGAGAATGAAAAACTTAAATTTAACCTTATCTGATCACTTCTATGAACACTTCAATTTAGTTGAACAGAGCACTATTGAATTGAGAGGCTCTTCTTCAATATCACATGCGTTTATCATAGATTTTTAACTCTCCTCCTGAAAATGTGGTTTTGTTCAATTATCAAGTTTTCTTTCATTCTCTTCTTTTGTCATTAATTAAGGATGCACTCAATACTGGAGACCTTTTTTCAAGTGTTGTATTTTAGAATGTAAATATTGTGAATATTGCATTCTGGTTGTAAGAATAAAAAAATACAAAAGGGACAGCACTTATTAGGGAATTAGTTCATTATGTTGAAAAACGTGACTTGTTCTTGTAAAAGAATAGTTGTGAAATCAGTCAAGTGCATTTAAATTCTGGTGATTATTGAAAGGAATTAATAAGAAAGGAGGTTTAAATCGTTTTATATTTCACAAATTAAGGTATTGAATGGCTACTGCCATATCACGATTCATGCACCTCATCCCGTCCGATTTGAGAAGTTAAGCATCGTCGAGCCACATCAGTACTGAGGTTGGAG